CACACACACATCCATCCATCCATACACTGTGGCCACCCTTCCCATGCCCACTCCTGAGCAGGCCTGGTCAGCCTCACCTATCAACCCACTGCCAGGCAGAGTAGAGCTGCCCAGAGGGTCCCCAGGCCATGCTCTTTCAGAAGCAGACTGCCCTGAACGGCCGTCTCGTTGCATCCCAGCGCTGAATCCGTTCTTTTAGCTCTGAGCCCTGTGCTGCGAGGGCTCATCTCCTATGATGAGTCCTCAAATCACCCAAACCTACTTCTGTCAAGTTGATTCCAACTCACGGCTAGTTGAGCTGCCCCCTAGGGTGTCTGGGACTGGCAATCTGCAGGGGCAGCTAGCCTCATGGGTTTGAACTGCCGACCTGATGGCGTGAATTGGGTACTCACTGCACCGCCAGCCCTCTGCAGAGGCTACGAAAGCAGCAAGGTCTGCGAGAGTAAATGTCACCCTCCAACGACTGTGTTCCTGCTTGTCGGGGCGGCCCTGCCTCCAGCACCAGTGGGATGGGACAGCATGACAGCCACAGAGACAATGGGGTGCCAGCCACCTGCCTTCTGGAAGAGGACATTGCCCCCATGCCAGCCTTGGGCAGGAGCTCACTTCTTGACATACCTGCCTCTGTGTATTTGTGGGGTTTAAGATGAAGCAGACATGTGACCCTGCGAACTTCCCTGACAGTGTCTACCATTCCTTCCCTCCTGGTACTGGTGGCCGTCCCAGGCCAGGCCTTGTGCCAGCAGCCTAGCTTATCTCAGCACTGGTTTGGGCCCCTCCAGGTCAGGTCATGACTGGCTGCATGACCCCAGGTGGCTCATAGGTGAGAAGGCCGCTGTGCTGTCTGTGTGGGCAGCCTCTGGGCACGGGTCTCCACGTGCAAACCTGGACACCTGGAGCTGGATCACCCTGACCCAGGTCCTGGGTCGCCCTGTGAGATGGCCCTTAGAATGGCCCTGAGACACAAGGCAGCAGCCAGTCCTGTCCCATCTATGCTGATGAGACTGGCCTGACTCCGAGCCCTCCAAGCCCACTGGAGAAGGTCCTCCATCTCTGTCCAGTTCTGCAACATCCTGGCCTGTCACATCCCCTGAGTACTCCGCCAGCAGCTGGCACTGGTACCCAGCTCCCTGGCAGGCCCTCCCCACAGAGGGACAGGTATGCGCTCTACTGGTCTGTAGTACCGCAGGCCACCATGGAGTGGGCTGGTGACAGGGAGGCCTTGCGCGGGGCCTGCTATTCACTGCACACCCACTCCAGTCCTCTCCCTCCTTCCCTCACACCCCGCCCCACCCCTCCGCCTCAGCTGACAAGCTGTTTTTCTTTCATTACGACAGTAATTGAGCTGAAGGCTGAGGATCGAAGCAAGTTCCTGGATGCACTTGTGTCTCTCTTGTCTTGAGGGTGAGTTGGTGGGGGAGGGGAGCTGCTGGCCACGCCCCTGTGGGGACCCCTGCCATGGGAGCCGTCCCTGCTGGAAGAGCCCTCAGACCCGAGCAGTACTGGCCAGCAAACTTTCCCAAGAGCATCTTGACCCTGGCTTCCCACAGTGCCACAAAGGGACATTTTTGAGGGAACTAATTTCATTAGCAAGCCCTTCAGAGAGAGCTGGCATTTTGGCCTTGCCGGCCACGCCACAGAGACTGGGCATGCAAGATAAGGGGCTATGCAGACTGTGTGGCGCTGCTGAGAGCAGAGCCCCTCCAGAGCCCTCAGGGTTGCCTGCAGGAGGCGCTAGAACCCTCCCTCTGTCTTGGATGGAGTCCACAGAGGCCCCCGGCTGCCGCCATAAGGTGGCTGTGGAACAAGCAACACAGCAGAGGGTTTGCCTCAGCTCTAAGAGAGGGTCCCCAGTACAAGGAGAGTGGCTGAAGGCAGGCAGCACCCCAGATGCCCCACGCCACCACCATTCCTTAGGGACCCACAAAGCAGGCCAGAGATGTAGGGGTGGGGATCTGTCCCTCACCCAGGTCCTGTCCACCCCGTGGGCACACCTCCAGGGCACAGTGACAGGCAGCTCTTGTCAGGCAGGTATCATTAATGCCCAAGGCCCCCTGCCCCCTGTGCAGAGGTAGAAGCTACAAATGCAGTTGGGTGTTCCTTCTCCCATCTGGGCTGGAATGGGCTCTTCTGAGAGGGGGTAGGGGCCTCAGAATCCGGGAGGGGCTCGGAGTCAGACTTGGGATCTGCTTTGAAGTCTCTCAGCCATCAGTAGGAGGTCCCTAGGTGACAGTTGCCAGAGCCTGTCCCGCCTCCTGTGATAAAGGAGTGTCCTGTCCAGCCTTAGCCTTAGCCGGGCACAGTCCCTGCTCCCTAGGGTGGAGCAGAAGGGTTCTGAGCACTGCTGGGCATTACAGCCTAAAGCCACAGTGACAAGTGCCGGTGCTTTTTCACACATCATTCCCTGCAGGACCCAGGTGCCTGCCCAGCGGATAAGGCTGGGTACTTTGTCAAACTGAGGGTACTGTGAAAATTGTGACATTTCTTGTATACCCCTCTGTTTCCAGGGTTCGCTTCCTTCAGAACTGACCGCTGCCACCTTATTTATGCTCACAGCATTTATTTAGCCTATAAATTATGGACTTAGTTTTAGATACCAGGAGAATTTCTTCTTCAGGGAATAAAATGTCATTTTATACTCCTCTCTTCCCTGGACTACTGCTTGGGCCTCAGTGGGGGTCCATGCCCTGTCATGGAGAAGGACAACAAACCAGCAAAGGATGGACTCTTGTTGGGCCCCAAAACGACCTTCCCCTCTATCGTGCCCTACCCTGTCCTCAGGCCCTTGGCACCACTTCCTCCCCAGTCAAACCCTATGTCTCCTGTCCTGAGTGGTTGGAGTCTGTGAACAGATCGGGCATCTGTTCTTTCTTGAGATGGTGGTGGGTGAAGGAGTGATGACCTTGAGCCAGAGCAAGCCTGACTGTTAGAGAAGGTCACAACTACCCAGAGTCCCCCAAGGTTGGAGCTGGATAGGACTTAAGGGACTACCATTGCTTTCTGAGGAGAGGGCTTTCCCAGTTCACATGCCTTGGGGCCAGCTGAACCCTGAGCCCCTGTGAATGTTGGGGGTTCCAGAGGGAAGGAGGAAGTGGTACCCTGCCTTGAAGTCTGGAGGCACAAGCGTAAAACACAGGCAGGCTGGAGGGGATGCCCTGGGAGTCAGGCTTTCTGTGGGTGTCGGAAAGAACCATAAGTGGCCTGAGGTAAGGACACAGAGGAGTGGGGCCAGGTTCTCAGGGGGCCCCCCCGACTGGAGCTTCCACAGGGCCTTTTGGAAGGAATTGATGCTAGAGTCAGAGCTTGGTTCGAGACCCATTCTGTTCTCATCTCTGCCCAGACCACGGGTAGAGGGTTGGCCAAAGTTCCTTCAGCCATGGGTCTAGCTGGCAACACCAGACTCCTCGGGGCCCTTCAGTCGCCAGCTGGACCTGTGCGTGCTGTGTCCCAGGAAGACAGGTTGGTGTGGGAAGGGCTCACCTCCCCAGGTTCAGAGACCATGCAATACAGCCCAATCTGTCCATGGTGGGTCCAGAGGCTAGCGGAAAGTTGGCCTTCCTGGACACACCTTCCCCCTGACTTCCATCCGACATCCAGGACTTGGCTTCCAGAGACTGCTTGTAGCCCTCCAAGTCCATGCCCACTGCAGGCACCTGCCGCAGGATGCTGTCCAAGCATTCCATAGTCAGCCCTAAGGCTGGCCTAGGCTGAGGCAGGTGCCAAACCAGGGAGCCTCAGCCTTTTGGGGGAAAGTGCTAATGCCTTTCTATACAAGCATACAGACACAAGTGGGAAAGAGCCCAACGACGTCATATGCTTTTAGATGGCTGGTGCAGACTGCCCACAGGAGGGAGGGCACACAAGACCAGTGGGGGCTGAAGGAGAATTAGCACCAGGCCTGCCTGTCCCAGAGCTGGCAGAGGGACTGGACAACCAGCAGCCAGTGTCTCCTCCCCATGGCAATGGGGCCATCGAAAGCTGCTGAACCTAGAGGCCTGGAGCTGCCCTTTTTCCTGCCCCACCCTGGTTCCAGGGCCCACTTTGTGGCATACCGAGGAAGATGAGCCCCAAGGGGATGCCAGTGCCTAGCATGCCCATTCTCACACACACCCCACCACCACTCACACTGGCCACCAAGTCTTGCAGGGCACGGGGGTGGCCCTGCGTACCCCACCAAACAGCAGTGGCTATTCTGACCACAGGACACCTCATTTTATCTCAGTGGATGGGGGGGTAGGGGTGGCTTGTGACCCCCACCTGCTTGTAGGCATGAAGGTGACAGTGGGGCGCAGGGCCAGGGATGAGACCATTGGCTTGGAGTTCCTGGGATACAGACTGGACAGAGGACAGGACACAGGCGAAGGGTGTTTAAACCATTTACTAAGCAGATTCTCGTTCCTCTGATCTGCGGGGGAGGCTTGAACGCCCTGCCCGCACGCCTCGCTGGGGAGCCACTGGGCTGCAGTAAGCAGAAAGACCAGGCCGAGTCTGTGAGGACCTGTGGCTCGGGCACCACGGATGGAGTGAAGGACGTTGGGCATGCCCCTCAGCAGGGTCCGGCGACTGTCTGTCGGGCACAGGGCCCCCAAAGTGTCCGCAGGAAGCAGCATCTTCAGTTGGGTGACCCCCGAGCCCCACCCACCTGGGAGACAAGACGGGGCGCTCCACCAGTCCTCCGGGTGTGCGCACGGGGCCGGAGTCCTTCAGACATAGTTCTTCTTGTCGTAGTCCCCGCCGGCCGCGGGGCGCCGGGGCGCAGAGTACTTGACTGGGAAACTGAAGTCCGGGCGTCCGGCGCAGGCCCAGGCCCCGCAGCACACCAGGCCACCGCCACACATGAGCAGCGCAGCGGCCGCCCAGCCGATGTACAGTGCGGCGCCCAGCTCGTACTTCTTGGACATGGGCACCGCCGGGTCGTAGAACTCACGCACCACAATGTTGGCGAACCAGCAGAGCGGCACCAGCGCCAGCAGCCCGCAGAGCGCGTAGATGGCCCCACCCGCCAGGGCCACACGAGCCTTGGCCGGGCCCGGGGCCACGCAGGTGGTGCACTGTGCGCCGGCCAGGGTCACAAAGAGCGCCACCAGCGCCAGCAGCACGGCGCCCACCGTGAGTGCGCGCGCTGCCTGCACCTCGGCGCTCAGCGCCAGCACGGAGTCATAGACCTTGCACTGCATGTGTCCCGTGCTCTGCACCACGCACGACATCCACAGCCCCTTCCAGGTCGTCTGCGCCGTCACTATGTTGTGGTCCAGGAAGGCGGTCACCTGCCACATGGGCAGCCCGCACGCCAGGATCAAGCCCACCCAGCCTACTAGGCACAGCACTAGGCCCAGAATCTCCAGAGCTGCCGACCCCATGGCTGGAGGGACGCAAGCCCAACGGCTCCCGGGCCCCTGCGCCCGTCCGTGTGACCACTTCTCAGCCCGCTGTCCGCCCCGCCTGGGTCTGGCGGGCCCCGTGCGGGCTCCCCATTTGAAGGCTCGGGGGTGGACTCTGCCTTCGGGGCTCAGCCCCGCCCTGGCCTGGGGCAGCCAATTCGCACAGGGGCTGCTGCTCCACAGCCAATGACTGGCCCTTGGCTGCCAGGATTCGAAAGGGGGTGGGGGGTGGCTTGGGAGTCCCGCCCCAGCCAGCCCACACCCACCCCGCTGCTGGCTGTGTGCTCTCTGAGGGCCACCTCCCTGCGTGCTGCGTGTCACCAGGAACCTCTAGGTCCTAGCCTCTAGTCAAGACCCCCACTTGTGGCTTTCTGAAATGGGGCTGGGGGTACCCACTACCGGCCAAACCCTGGGCCTCCTCCTCTCATCGTGGCCAGTCACCCAGAGGCCAGAGGAGGGGGGCATCTCCTGGCCCCTTAGCTGGCACAACAGCACTTTTCTCTCTGTTCCTCCAGAAAGCTCCTCTGAGTTCAGATCCCCCTCCTTAATCCCTCTGCTCTGTGCCTCACAGAGCCTAGGCACTGCCCTCCCTATCATGCCAGGCAACATTGCCAGGCAGGGATAGGGCCAAAGCCTTCTTATCTGAGTCTTGCCAAGGACCAGGGCACACTTGGTTCACTGCCTTCCCTGAGGCCCTAGCACAGAGGGAGACCGGGAATATGGGCACAGTGGACCCTCTCCATCCCGTCAAAGCTTCCCAGATCGGGACACGAGTGTTTGGGCTCCTCCTCTTCCTGCTACAGAGCCCATGTCCCCACCCGTGGAGCAGCTCAGTCAGGAAGTTCACAGGCTCCCCAATGGTCCAGTTCCCAGAGGCCTAGCTGACGATGCAAGGGGCCCTCCCACCCTGGGCAGTGGCACCCCCATACCGCCCTCCGGAAGCCCACTTGGAGTTTCCTGGCCAGGAGGAAGAGCCCCCATCCTCCTGGAGGCAGGAGGTGCGGGATTTCCGGCCATTCTTTTGCACAATGGCCCAGGATTTTCTCGAAAGTTCCACTAGGGTGGACACTCAGGCCCCCCTGAGGCTCGGGTGAAGGCAACAGCCTCCACCACCCACAGTTCATGGGGGTACAGTGGCCCAGTCCCCATTTCCTGCCAGTCCCTTTGTTTCTAGTGAAGGGGATGCCTGCTCTTTCTACATCCCAGTGCATGGCTCTGTGGAGAAGGCCCAGCAGGGCCACAACCCTCCCTCCTGGACCTGGGTCCCTTTGCCGCAGGTGGTCCTGGGGGGTTTAACTGTGCGAAGGCCAGTGCCCAGCTCACCCACCATGGGGAGTAGATGATGAAGGCAAGTTGGCTGGGCCTTGGGAGTGTTGGCTGGAGTATGAAGGAACATAGCTAGTCTCCCCAGAGAGCCACTGCGTCCACCCACAGGCCATCAAGTACTGCTTTCTGCCCCTGGACCATTCCCCTTCTCTCTGCAGACCCTCCTCCCTGAAATCCAGGGATCTCACCCAGAGTCACCCCCACCCCCACCTTCTGCCATTTCTCCAGGATAAACACTGGGGTCTCCATGCTTCCCTGCGTGGGAGCCCCTGAACCATGCTTTCACAGGTTTTCCTCCAGGGCCTCCCGCTGGTGAGAGTGCTCCTGACTACTTGTGTCCCTGCGCAGAGGCCTCATTCCAGGAAGCTCATGCTGCTAAGGAGCTGACAGAGCACTGCCAACCAGTGGGTCTGAGCGATCCGCTCAGAAGTGTGATGGGGTGTCTGACCTGGAGAGAAACCATGATGAAGATCCAGTTGCCAGGCAGAATTGGGGAACCAAACCAAACCAAACTCACTGCTATCAAGCAAATGCTGACTAATCGCGACCCCATAGAACAGTGGAGAACTGCCCCAGTGGGTTTCTGAAATTGATAACCCTTTACAGGAGTGGAAAATACCCTCTCTCCATTGCAGCAGCTTGTGGTTTCAAACTGCTGACCTTGCAGTTAGGAGCCCAATGAGTACCACTCCGCCTCCAGGGCTCCTCAACAGCCAAGTGCAAACAGCCAGTGCAAAGCTCAGAGGTGGCAAGAGGACTTGGCAGGAGGGGCAGGAAGAGACCAGTGGTGGACGTTTCATGGCGGCAAGGTTCTGCGGCCGCAGTCAGGGGGTTCCACTGTGGGCAGACTTGCAAAGCCCTGGTCTCAGGGACTGGCTTTTGGGCCAGAGCTCTGGCCAAGGCCACCTGCTCATCTGCAGCTATTGTTCTGCGCTCCCTTGGGAAATGGGAGGGGATCTCATTAATTGTCTGAGATAAAGGGCTGAGTCGGCAGAAAAGCAACGTTTATCTTGAGCAGCTGCCGTTTGACCCTGCCCCAGGGTGATCCGGTGGACCACCCCCCTTCCCCAAGGACAATCTAAATTTAGGTTCCAGATTTCTGGGGCCTGCAGTCTGGGAAACTCCTGGACTTCATTTCAGGGCAAGTGAAAAAACAACAACAACAAATCTTTCTTTTAGGTTTTGAACTGAAAAACTCACTGCTAGCGAGTCAATGCCAACTCCTAGTCATATATAGGATGAGGAGAACTACTCTTGTGGGTTTCCAAAACTATCACTCGTTATGAGAGTGGAAAGCCTTGTCTTTCTCTGCCGGAGTGGGCGATGATTTCCCACGCCGGTCGCTGAGGATGGCAGCTCGGTGCATAACCATTACACCACCGGAGCTTTCAAAACCAACCCAAACAGCTCACTGCCCGGGAGGGGCTGACTCACAGAGGCCCTGTTGGGCAGGGTAGAACTGCCCCCGGAGTCTCTGAGGCTGTCACTCTTTGTGAAAGTCTGTCTCCCGCAGAACACCTGGTAGGTTCAAATTGTAACATTGGGATCACAGCCCAGTGCATATAACCACTGTGCAAGTGTGCCAGCGCTTCCCCTACCAGGGCGTTAACGTTCAATTCACGGCCATCTAACACAGCAGGTCTCAAGCTGGGGGGCGAACGACCCTTTCACAGGGATGGCCTAAGACCATCGGAAAACACATATTTCCGATGGTCTTAGAAACCGAGGCACCGCTCCTCTATCCCTCTCCAGGTGGGTCTGCCCACATGCAGAGACGCCCACCTATGAATACCGGCGTGAAGACTGTTAACCATGCTGCACCATGCTTCAAGACAAAATGTCATTGGTTTGCAATTAGAAATAAATATTTCACAATATATAATTGCATATTGCTTTTGTGATTAATCACTATGGTTTAATTATGTTCAATTTGTAACCATGAAAATACAGCCTGCATAACAGATATTTACATTACGATGCATAACAGTAGCAAAATTACAGTTATGAAGTTGCAATGAAGATAATGTTATGGTGGGGGTCACCACAACACGAGGAACTGTATGAAAGGGTGGTGGCCTGAGGAAGGCGAGAACCACCACTCTAACAGATATATAAAGAAGCCTCGGAGCACAGCTGGGCCCTTTCTTGGTGAGAACAAGGGTGCTCCCTTGGTTCTGAGAGTGGCCAAGGGGTCCCTCCCGAGCCCCTGCTCTGGGTTCCTCAGCTACCCTTCATGAGAGGGTGTGGAACACTGAGAGGTAGCATGGTCCAGCCTCAGTTCTGGTTGAGGTTAGAAAGATGTAGAATGATATTTGCCCTTAAAAACTGACAGTGCCTCCGTCTCCCCACTGGTGACAGAGTAGAGGTTGGGTGGCTACAGGGCAATTCTGGCACCCTCTGTGGTCATTCTGAGCACCATCTGGGTTCCTGAGACCACCCCCTAGCTCAGTCCATCAAATCTCTCCTCACCTCAGATATGTCCTGCAATAGAGCCACTGGCCAATCGTCAACATCAGAGGACACATCAGTAGCTTTAACTTCCACAGAAGGTCGGGTAAGTCTGACAGCCGCTGGGTCCTGTAGACTTCTTTCCTCTTCACGGACAGCCCTGGACAGCAGTCCCAGGCCCCACAGGCTCTACACTCAGGGTTCCTAAGTACTTGGGAGAAGCCAGTGAAGGACAGGGTTCAGGCTAGTCTCCCTACTGTCAATCCCAGCTCCCCTGCCTACACTGTCTTCCACAACCCCTCTGTCCACCGTCCATGCCCATTCCCTTTCTTCTCTGCTTCCTTCCTTGCCTGCATGCTGCATCTGGAATGTTTTTGTACTCTTTCCCATTTCACCTCATATAGTGCGTCTAGGTTCTCCTTTTTCATTTGGTCACACACTGGGCACTTTCCTCCTTGGTAAAAAATGTCCTCATACTTCTGATTGTGCAAATCCCCATGGTACACAGGTTTCAGCAGAGCTTTCTGATTAAGACTGACTAGAAAGAAAGGTAAGAGCCCTGGTGGCACAGCAGTTATGCATTAGGCTTATAACCACAGGGTTAGCAGTTCAAAACCACCAGCCACTCCAAGGGAGAAAGACGGGGCTTCTACTCCCATACAGAGTGTGATAGTCTCAAAAAAAAAAAAAACCCATCCTATAAGCTCACTATGAGTCAGTATTGACTCAATGACATTGAGTGAAAAAAAGGTCTGAAAGTAGCCAATTGGATAGCTTACACCAGGACATTGTCCAACTCACTTGCTTTGGACTTAGCAGGGAATTGGCCTCTGGAGGAGAACATTGTGTTCGGTGAAGTAGAAGGCCAAAGAGGGCAGGAGACCCTGAGGGAGGTGCATCACCCCGACAGCTGAGTGACAGCCTCAGATAGGCTGCTGATCTTCAGAATGATGCAGGACCAGGTAGGCAGTGTTGTGTTCGTGTTCTGTTGTCTGGAGAGTCACTATGGGTTGAAACCCACTTGACACCCCTTAATAGCAACAACAACATATGGGTGCGTATATATATTCGGATAGACAATAAAACCCAGAGGGGCACAGGTCTGATACGTCTTAGACTTAGTTATTCAAGTCATAGGATTAGAGCATTGAATTTGAAGGCATAAGATCATAGTCTACTGGGATAACTTGGTCGATCAGCATAATGGAATTTATAAAGCTAGTGTTTCACATCATACTTTTGGAAAGTAGTGCCGGGGGTCTTAAAAGTCTAGGAGG